CGGTTCAGTCGGACCGGTTTAGACCGGAACAACATTCAAGAACCGAGTCCAAAAAACCGAAACGTGAAAACCGGATGACCGGACCTGATGTACATTTCTGTAGATTGTACACACAACACACACATCTTAGATAATCTGGCCATGGCAGGTAAAAAAAAAATAACCCTGAATCATACTAGATCAGCCTAAATCCATGTTTATGCGTTCAAAAACAAGAAAAAAAATGTTTCCCGGTATTAATCTCTTGAAACACGGCGCTGAATATTGGCGCAAAAACATTTCGTGCACGGCGAGCCCTCCCCCATTGTGACGCAATCCCGCGTCACGTGTCGGCATTTCGCATCTCTGATTGGTTGTTGCGCCCGCTGCTGGCAGCGTAGGGAGCGAGGCGGCAGACTTGAGCGAGCCGACGCGCATGTAAACAACTTTTCTTTGTTCGATATCGGCGCTAAAATTCTATTTTGCACAACCACACATCGATATTCTAGTGAAGAAATGTATAGTTTCAAGAATCTTTGGGGAAAATATATGCTTCTATGCGGATTTTTAGCGTTTTCGACGTGATTTTGTCGTCACTTAACCCGGAAGTGTGGACCGCGGCGTGGCTAAATTTTTAACGTATTTTACCCTGCGTTTTACCAATCAAAACAATAAACAACCCCCGCTAAGAGAACCCTGTAAGATTTTAGATCGCAGCAATTAAGTATCTGATCAAATTATTTGTGGATGTACTGGCATTTCAGCCGTATTATTCATCGGGAAAAGCGGCCTCATGCACGGCCGTGTCGTGTACACGAAGAAATTGTGTCTCGCTTGCCAAAATATGATATACTATACTACTGTACAATAATCAGGTCCGGTTCAGGTCCGGACCTGGACCTGATCCTCTGAACCTGATCCGGACCTGGACCTGAATTTTCTATACCGGTACCCACCCCTAAATATGTATATGCTAAGAATGTCTCCACTTCTAAGTGACTGATTAATTTGTTGTGTGCCCAATGACAACGACTTTTCGGAATATTCACACTCACACTCACTGCACGGCTTAACGTCCGTTGTTCCCCGTCATGCAAGGGTTGGACGTCGTGGGGTGTCGTTTAGGTCTAATACTAAGTAATAGACAGTAGTTTTTTGGCTCTGGCTTTTAATTGCTGAGCAAAACCAAACTGTCGCAAAGTTTTGACAATTTTTTTCTCTCTGTTTCTGACCCTCCAGGTTCACAGAGATGAAGACCAATAACTACATCGAGAGCTCCTTCTGGAACTTTGACACTTTATTTGTGCCCCAGCAACACCCGGCAAGAGATGAGCACGACACTTTCTTCATAAAAGGTACATATAGAATACAACACTGTGTATTTCATATCATCCGAGGTACCAGCTTTTAGTTTGAGTTTTGAGTTTTATTTAGATCCACAATCAGCCTTGTAAGAGGCCATTCTTCTTGTGGTCTACACATTACATTCATGTATACATATTACAATTGAAGAGAAACGTACAAAGACATACAAAGTTAACAGTATCAAGCAGAAGAAAGAGAGTCGGTGAATTATTTGTTCGTCATAATGATAAATTTGCAGTTCAGAAGTGACCATGAAAACTGCTACAGTAACTATAGAAGTATCGTGAATATAAAGTGATTTACAGTATGTCATACACACCCAAGAAAACATGCCTTTCAATGCGAAAAGAGACAAAATTTGGTGTCCCTTAGTAAGTCAAAGTTTATGACTTATTTTGTATGTCTAGTTTGTAATTGACCACACTATACTTAGCTTTTCGTTAAGTCAATGAAGTTTGTATGTATTTCTGTTGCAGACCCAATGTATGCCCAGGGTTTCCCAGAGGAATATATGGACAAAGTGAAGACAGTTCACTCACAAGGAGGCTTCGGATCTCAAGGGTGAGTTTCATCATTTGTGAGCCTCCTGGCAGCTTTCCTAGGTACTGCAGCAGAACTTTAAGCACTTATTTACCACGTGTTTTGACCCGTTCACTGCGTATCAATGGCTAGGTGGCATGGTCCTTGATATGTACAAAATGTAGTAGCAGGACTTGGATTGTGATTTTGATACAATGTATGTGGGTATGTGTTTTAACCCTGAAGATGAGCCTTGTCTGTGGTCCTCCTAGCAGCTTTCCAGGATACTGCAGCAAAGTGTCCATGCTGATGGACTGTGAACACTTACCTTTTGAACAAAAAATATTAGCCAGACAAGCTAGAAATAGGATAGAATGCTAGAACCAACAGGATAAGGCGATTCTTATTTTAATAGTTTTTAGCATGTATTTTAATAGCATGCAGCATAAGACCTTGTAGGTATTATAATGTAAATGCATTATAACATACAAGCAGCAAAGTGTCCAAGTGTTGACCGTCATGTTTGCCTGTGTTTTTGCCTGTTGTCAGGTACCAGTACGAGTGGAAACGGGAGGAGGCCCAGAAAAACGTTCTGCGGACTCACACCACGGCCGTCAGCGCTCGCATGCTGTACCAACTAGCTCAGCAGCAGAAGGTATATTTATTAATTAATCATTTAATTGGTTTATTACTTAATTTATTTATTTATTCAAGTAGAGAATGTCAGAAGATAGCTCTTGTCAGAAGATGATGGATGCCATCTGAAAGCTTCTATACTTTGATATTTGTAAGTCGTGTGTATCACTTAAAATCCTTCCTGTTATTAAACAAAGAGCAAATTTGATTATGGACCTCCTAGCAGCTTTCAACGGAACTGCAGCAGACCTTTCTGATTTCACATCTTGTTTCATTCCGTCCAGGATGGCTTCAAACCCGTGAAACTGTTCTCGATCGACCTAGCAGCTGTTTATGGAACTGCAGTAGATCTCACAGTTTTCTCATCATCTTCTCATAAGTCATCTGTGTCAGTTCATGAGTAGCCTTCATAACATTAGTCTTATATTTCCTGTCCAGGATGGGTTCAAACCGGTGAAGCTGTTCTCGATCGACCGTGTGTTCCGGAATGAGACGCTGGACGCCACCCACCTGGCCGAGTTTAACCAGATCGAGGGCGTCGTCGCGGACTACAACCTGACCTTGGGTGACCTCATGGGAGTCCTACACGCCTTCTTTAAGAAACTTGGTAGGTCAGAAGCCGTGCGTTGCATGTGGGACTCTCCAATGCTAATCTGGGCTTTTATGTTTTCCTTTCTCAAATGTTTTGGAGATCTTGCAACATTCAAATCCACAGTGAACACCAGTAATTATGTTTACCGTCTCTTTTTTGCTCTGTTTCTTCTTCTCTAAACACATATATTTAAGTTAATGACCTGGACCAGACGTCTGTCACCATGGTAACTGGTGATGTAGCAAACACCCTGTGTTGTTGGGTTACCTTAAAGTTAGTGTCTAGTTAACAGATATTTGTCTTCCCCAGGAATTGAGAAGCTGCGTTTCAAGCCTGCCTACAATCCCTACACAGAGCCAAGTATGGAGGTGTTCAGCTATCATGAAGGTGAGTTATATTTCAGCATTTCGAGCATTACTTTGCACAGAGTGAACACTCCCTGAACTTAGATGCCAAATCATAGAGAAAATAAATAGAGCCATTCGGTAATAAGCAGAGATTTCACAAAATACGTACAAACACTTGTACATGCAATGGAGTCATGATGAGATAAACACTAAACTTTCTCTGCCAACACTGGAATGAATTGGAACTTACCCCAAATTCAACACAGATAAACTTTTACGCTATGCAATGGAGTCGTTCACTTCTACCTTTGTTGTTGCCCCTGTGTTGCCAGGTCTGCAGAAGTGGGTGGAGGTGGGGAACTCTGGAGTGTTCCGTCCTGAGATGCTCCTGCCGATGGGGTTACCTGAGGACATCTCTGTCATAGCCTGGGGACTGTCACTAGAGAGGTACGTTATACTATGTTCTGTTCAAAAGATAAAGGTAAATGTTAGTTCCACAGCCTTTTTCAGGCTGTAGGGGCAGTGAGTTTTATTTATTTATTTATTTTTTTTTTTTATTGTCCAAACAGTACCCATGCAGTCGCAGCCTTACGGCTGAATTGATGCAGGGTATCACATAATAATCAATACAAATCACAACAATTACGACATTCAAATAATACAAATGATAGACACAGTCGCAAGGGTCTGTGTGGCTGCCATTCGGCGCCACAAGGTGACCTCAATACGACTTTCCCCAACCGAAGTTAGGTACCCATTCACACCTGGGTGGAGTGAGGAAATTCGTGTAAAGTGCCTTTCCTAAGGGCACAACGTCGGGGCGCATGTTCAGACATGTACCGGGTACGACTCGGAATCGAACCCGGGTCTCCCGGTTCACAGTCGATTGTTCTAACCACTACACCACCCGACGCCACGTTTTATTTCTACTTTGTCTAGGGCACAGTGTTGGAAGGCAGAACCCTGCCCTCTCTGATATGTCAGAACTGTAAAAGCAGCTAGACTTGGTATATGTAAAGAGCTTTTGTTCTAACCTGTTCTGTTGTTCTTCTCCACTTTTTCAGACCCACAATGATCAAGTATGGCATAGACAACATCCGTGAGTTAGTCGGGCACAAGATCAACCTACAAATGGTTTATGACAACCCCATTTGCCAGTTGACTCAGTCCTGAGGTACACAGCTCATGTAGTTACGTGTATGTGACTAAACCACAGTGTCACCATTCTGTGTAACACCCCTCCCACTGGTCAGGAGGCTTGATAGCCAACACCTCTAAGTCTAAAGGGAGAATTTGGGATATCCTGTTCTATAGCACCCTACTCTGTAGAATGCTGTTCTATAAAATCCAGTTCTGTGGAACCCTGTTCTATGGAACCCTAGCTGTTCTGTAGAACCTTGTTCTGTGGAACTCTGTTCTGTGAAATCAATCCTGTTCTATAGAACCCATTTCTATGGGACCCTGTTCTATAGAATCCAGTTCTGTGAAACCCTGTTCTATGGAACCCTACATGTAGCTGTTCTGTAGAAACCTGTTCTGTGGAACTTTGTTCTATGATCTGTGGAACCTGGGCAGTGAGAGGTTTTGTTACCCAGAATAACAAAGTTCTGTTGCACAGACTAACAAAGGATGGAGAATACTATGTGATGATTTATTATATTGACTGTAAAACCATGTTATCTATGAAATAATATTGTTCAGGTCCTCGTATTTGAAGAAAGAAAACTTAAGACAGTGCAAAGAAAACTATACAGCATGAACAACAGAAGTGAATCCTAAAATACCTTGTATAACATTACTGATATACAACTTTTAAGTTTTGTAATAGGTAAAGATGTCTTTGCACAAATAATGTCACATCTTTATCAGAAATGAAATAAAAAGGTGTACACTATACAGCGTAGTGCTGCCTGAAAATAATGTGAAATAAAAGTACATGTAATAAGACGTGATATTTATAATTGGTTGGGACCAGTTAATGTTCTGTTACCTTATTAGATTATCACAACATCATAAGGCCATGTTGATTTGATTATATGGATGACATCCTCTGGGAACCCCAAAACTGATGCGAGCGTGCGAATAAAAAAAAAAGTTTTGCAAAAAAAAAAGTTGCTTTAATTATGAAATCTACGTGGTCATGAAGGTTGAACAAAGGCCACAGAGTATCGTTTGGCGAATAATCTACTCTTCAAATTCATTTCTTTACATTTTCGTCTTTTTTTGTTTGATTTTGGCATTCTACGACATTGGTATCGTTTTCAAATATTTTTTTGCAACTTACGGGTATAAATTTTATTCATTTTGCAACTGTTTTGTATGATTTACAGTATGGTTGAAAACTTTTTTTTTTTTTGGAAACGGCCGAAAATTCATGCGCGCGCGGATGTCATCCATATAATCAAATCAACATGGCCTAATTGGAAAAAATTGTTTTTGATTTTAAGTAGCATTGGGTGAGGTCAATTAAATATCTGTTGAAGCCATTAAAAAGGAATGAACCATTCTCAAGTGTTCCTTCATCTAACATGGAGAATGTCAGTGTGGTTAAGTGATCTCAATCCAGTTTAGCTCACTGAAGAGCTAATCTCCCACTGGTCATGACAGATGCTATGTACAGTATTTACGGGTTCATTGTACCGGGAAAATTCCCCTAGCTCTTTTCAACATAGTCAAGCACAGTGGACCACAGCATAACATCCCATCCTAAGGACTGCGACCCTCTCCATTAGCATGTATGTCAGGTGAGCCGGGATTCAAACTCCCAACCTTTTGGTCCAGAGGCAGGGTCACTAACCACTGGACTACGCAAACTACACACGTGTGGTATACTACCATTAAACCATCTTCTACTACTCAAGAAAAAAAACACACACACGGCTGACTATATTAGAATAAAGACAGTGTTTATTGTGTGAATTTTGATGTGGCAATCAGAATTCAACATTTTTACAACAAAATCTGTAATTGTAAGGTGCTTGGAGGTCTGTAAAAGAATAGATGCTTCGTTCACACATACACACATTATGTCATACATGTGCCAGAATTGCTGATAGATGTATATTGGTTTCTTTAATACATGTACAAAAATGAATCACTGACAAAGCCATTTAGTCATTCCATTGAAGTCTTTCCACAATTCTGCATTCATAAACATTTTTTTTTCTTATAATTCAACAACACAATTTGTTCAGTGCTCACACATAACACACATGTACAACACTTACACACCAACCATCAGTACAGGTACATACAATTTGTTCCAGGTCATACCATGCCTTGAATTGTACAGGCCTTTTTTACCAGACCAAACCTGGTTGGCATTCAAAACAGCCAGTCAACTAATGAGAGAGTGGACAAAACTTGGCCAAATGTTTGTGTGTCTACATTTTTGTTTTGCATTTCTTCATTTTTGTTCAACATGTCTACATCATTGTTTAGTATTTCTATATTTTTGTTTCAAATTTTCTAAGTTTTTTTCTTGGCATATCTACATTTTAAACAATGTTGGCAGAGTCATTGGATCAGTCTATTGTTTTTACTGTCATGTACATACATTATTGTGGTAGCAGTGGCTTGATATATTCAGTAGTTCCTATAAAAGATTTGTGGCAGATTCTAAGATATGCTTGTATATGGCCATAACCTCGATATGGTTTTCTGTGTCTATTTAAAAACTACCTTGTCTGCTTTCAGTTATTGCTTTTAAAAGGCTTTTGCCAATTTATGATCAAATTATTATTCAATCTCAATTTCATTGAAATTATGTACATCTTTGAAAAAAAACATTGGGGTCTGTGACACATACAGAAAATATAGCAGCTGTGCAAAGTATCATGTCTAACCCCAAGTTCTGTTGAAAATACACATCCACGTCACAAAAAATAATTCTTTTTACATTCAAATGATTCCTGCTCAATATAGTACTACCTAAGTAATCACTGAATCAACTGTCAGTACTCAAACAAACTCACAATAATTTTGTAGTATCAAAAGGATGGTGATGTTACAATATACCCTGCTGGTGTGGGCATGGCCACTTTTGTTGTATCGTCACAAAATGACAGTATTTTTACAGTCATATGTCTATGTATGGAAAAAATTATGACAGCTCTGAGATCTTTGGTGGTTGGTTTGGTCACAGCATGCTTAACCCTTGTCCTGCTGGCATTTTAACACAATATTTTTCAATAATTTCATGTCTTAATTAGGTCATAGACCCTGACTTTTTTTGCCCTGCGGTGGCATAGTTACTTCCGCATTCGTTGAATTTTGCTGTGGTCTGATGCGTTGCACAAGAAATACACCCAAATTGTACCTATAACGTTACAGAGTACTATTATATAGATGATACTGAATGTGCAAAACAGCAATTGTTAGGCTCCGCAGGACAAGGGTTTCAAATGTTATGACATCAAAATCGTGGGACATTTTTACTGACGACTTACAACAGACGTGACCACGCCATAAGGAAGCAGCATTCAGTGCAGTTGCAGTGTTAGATGTGGGCTCTCCCCAACTGTACATTTTTGTGTGTCTTCTCAATTTGACAAGGCAAACTCTGACACTGGCCCTCTCGATTTTGACTCTCAATTTTGATATTGAGTGCCAAAGTCACTACCATTTTGTTCTAGAGGGGTCTGGGGTATGATCCCCCAAGAAATTTTGAATGTAAACCCTCTAAAATTGTCTAAAAAGAGCAAAATTTCAAATGAAATTTTTAAAAAGTTTTGGAGGCCAGTCCTGATGAAAACACAGAAGTCTTGATACCATTAAAGAAGTTAATTGCCAATGGTTAAAATTCTTGGTTAAAATGTTTCCCTCTTAAGCAGCAATACTCCATCCTGAGACACACGTATACGTTGGAGAGAGCCTTGGTTGGATGTTTGTTCACAAGTCTGAGCCCGTGTCCTGGGGTTTTAACCGAACGATGTGAGAGTGTGTCCCTGGTCGAGGTAACCGTCGGTGCGCATACCAATCCTCTGTAGTCTCATGTGTTCCTGTCATAATAGAGTAACAACAACCAAGTTAGAAACTGCAGCTTAATTAATTGTAACTTTTTGCCGCTAACTAACTGCTCTGCTTATTATTACTCAAACACACTCATATAAATTATGAGACCCTCCAACATACATTTAAGTTAGTCCCAACACCACAGGGTGTCTGCTGCAGTACAATTGATACAAACAAATAAATAACAAACAAACAAACGACACCTACCCTTTCTTCCTCTCCCATGACGTACTTGTCTTCACGTAGCCTCTCTCGCAGTTTCACTATATTTTCATACATCGTCTCTCTGTCTACCGTGGTCTGTGGAGAGATAAGAGATCAAACAACATTTTTAAAACCATAGCTGCTTTATGGAATGTGAAAAATGATAATCAGAAATGTTCTATGGAGCCCTGTTCTGTAGAACACTGTTTTGTGGAGCCCTGTTCTGTGGAACCCTGTTCTGCGGAACACTGTTCTGTGGAACCCTGTTCTGCAGAACACTGTTCTGTGGAACCCTGTTCTATAGAACCTTGTTCTGTGGAGTCCTGTTCTATAGAACCCTGTTCTGTGGAACCCTGTTCTGTGGAACCCTGTTCTGTAGAACCCAGTTCTGTGGAACCCTGTTCTATAGAACCTTGTTCTGTGGAGTCCTGTTCTATAGAACCCTGTTCTATGGAACCATGTTCTGTAGAACCCTGTTCTGTAGAACAGAGTCACTCTTACAGGTTTGTCGCATACCTTCATAAGTTGTGCCTTTTCGCGCTGCAGCTTGTACTCCAGCTCCTTCTCCTTCTGCAGACTGTCTGCCATCTGCTCCCGGATCGTGCTGCTGTTCTTCTTCTTCAGCTTACTCAGCTGATCCTGCATCTTCTTCACCACCTGTTAAAATGTTAATTAAAATGACAATGTTAAAATTTCTCCTTACTTTTTACCCTGCATAAATATTTTGTTTTTACATTCTGTATCATAGACACGGTAGATTCTGAACTAAACTGTAACACACGCACAAACGTGACTGCCCCAGAAACATGTTTAACTTCTGATTGTGAGGATTCTATTCTATAATGTATTAGTGATGTATATACTAGTAATGGAATTTTTAACACTAACGGCAACTTTGTAATCAATGATGCATTTCAGGTAATATTGTCATTGATAATAATTAATCTGAATCTGACCTGTTCCTGCTTGGTCCTCGAGTACTCTGACTGCCGCACCTTCTCATACATGCTGTGTTCCTGCTGCTGCGCCTTGCCTACAGCTCTCTGGAAATCAGGAACAAGGCTGTTAGCACCGGTAATTACAGTAAACTTTGCTGCACAGCAATTGTACAAGGTAACGTTACATGTACAATGGATCGCATCAAGCTTATAACCCTTTCCTACCACTCTCTGAACATAAAGAGCAAGACTGTTAAGCAATTACAACTGCAATGCAATATTGCAAGGTGCAAATGTAACAACAAACATACTATGAGACTTATTCACCTCACAAAAGACTGTGGCATTAAAGCATTTTTTGACCCAGAGATATTGTCCTGTTGTATCAAATGCATAGGGTTGTTAGTCATTACTGTACAGTGCATGTGGTGTATAGGCTGATGCCCATCTCCATTGTGTGGAGAAACAACATATTTGCTGTAACTGTACCTTGAAGTGCTTCATCTTGTCCTCGTGTTTGCGTCTTCGATCATCGTCGACCCTCATCAGGTACCGCTCCTCCCACTCATTCAGCTTCTCGTGACGCTCGACCGCCTTGGTGCGCACCAGAGCATTTAGACGCTGCTGCTTCCGAAGGCTGTGTGCCTGGGAGGGACAGATGGTATGTGGCCTCGTGGTTATGAACAGACCTATGTTCCAAAAGCTCAGGGTGTTCCAAAAAATCCAATGTTCCGAAAACCTGACCGAGTGTGTGTTAAAAAATCTTTAAAAAACTCTCTATATTCCCCAAACCCCCATGTTCTGAAAAGGCGTGTTCCAAAACGTTATGTTCCGAAAATCCTTGTGTTTTGAAAACCCTTGTGTCCAAAAACCACTATGTTCTTAAAACCCAATGTTTGCCTCCACCCATATGTTTTAAAAAAGATTCAATGTGTTCTATTGGTTGATCTGCTTGCTGAAGATCAATGGATGTTATCACCTCTTAGTGAACTTAAAACTCTTGGACTGTGCTTAGGGGAAGAAATCAAGTGTGATTGCTACTCTCCTATCATCATCATCATATCTACTCTCCTATTAAATGTTACAAGTCAGAACAAGAACAGACAAGAACAAGTATGACAGTACTGTACAAAATTAAATCCACGTACCTGCAGTTTCTGGTCGATCTGCTTGCTGCGCAGGTCCAGGTCTGCCTGCTGCGCCTCCTCCTGCAGTTTCCTCTGCACGTCTGCGTTCTTCTCCAGAAGGTTCAGAGAGTCTCGCAGCCGACGCGCCTCTGAAATGTCAAACATTTTTAACTCGTCAAATTTGGCAGTTTATAACAATTATCATTAGAAATCCATGAACCAATTACTAGTTGTAATTTACCAACTCATGCTACATGTATACTCTCACTGTTATATACTATTCTTGTTTGTTTAGTGCTATTTGCAATGACTAATAGTATAGAACAATTAAACTGTTTTTGAAAAGTCTTGTGAGTCCAATTTTTTGTAGTTTTAGAACAGTTCAGTTGTCATATAATGTCAAACTTATCCTTGCTTTCACTCTCAAAACAAGCATAGATCAGTAATTTTATTTATTTTTAGTCCTGTAATACTTAGTACTAGAAAAATGGGTTTCTTGAATCACAACATATATAGCATTTGCCTGGCCAACATCTTAATTTTGATGCAATAATGAAAATGGAAATGAGATTTTTTAAACATACCGTCACGTGCTCTTTCCTGCAGGTGTGAGCGTGTGGTGTTCAGCTCGGCACTCAGGAGTCTCTTTCCTGTCTCAAACCTACGAGTCCCGCCTTCTGACTTCCTGTAGACAACATAACAGGAACATTGTTACAGTAATGAATAACATTCTGGAACTTCTGCACACACTTCTGCCTTCCTATATAACTGGAATAGCATGTTATTAATCTTAAATTTCTAAACCATGGTGCGCACTCCATCGTCTCCCGAGACGGAAGGATGCCAACAACAATCTTAAATTTCAGACACAATCACACATGCATGCACTGACACATACAGACATACCATTACATACAGACACAGACGCACTCACACACACACATGCACACACAGATACACACACACACTCACAATCACGGAGATTACACTAACCAAATGACCAACTAACATGATGAGACTCCCTTACCCCAGGCTGGCTTCCAGTGTTGTGTCTGCCTCCCTGTTGGCCAGGATTCTCTTCCTTGTTGTCTCGCTCCCAATCCTGATGCAAGAAACATTGGTTTCAACATAATTATGCTCTCTTACTTGAACTTGAATGGCACATGTATTCCTTATAGATAGCACATAAAAGTCTGAATTGAGCCGCATTTTCTATTACAGCAGTACAGAAGAAATTGACAGTTATACATGTAGGCAATATTGTATATGTGAATACTGGTAGAAACTTCTTGATTCCCAACCACTTGTTCAAAGAACTTTGCTATTCACTTATTCACCAACCTGAATCAAATGAAATTATGTAGTAATCATGGGTATCTACAAGTTCAGAGCCAGCAAGTACACATCAATAAACATGAACCTGTTAGAAACGCAGCACAGGTATACTGACAATTCACTTGTACAACCATTGCATGACCCAAGAAGTGGGGAGAACTGACCTGCCCTGCTCGAACTGCATCTGGCGTTTCTTCTGTGCGTCCATGTTCAGTTTGATGGCGAGATCAGCAAGCTCCTTCTTCAGCTTAAACTGTTCCTCCTGGGACAACAGAGCAAAAGGTCAATCTTTGCTAAGGTGTAAGGAAATACATTGAATTTTCATTGTGAATTTGTAGTCTTACATCTATCTTAGATAGTTTTCAACCATGAAGTTAGATGTTCAAAGGTTAGGTGTAACAGGTCGTTCAGTGTACCGTTCAGCTAACCGCCGCCACACCACATGCCTGCAAAGCTGTTGTGTTATGCAAAGGGCTGCTACACTGAAGGTGTGGTTACTTACAGGCTATACAGATACATTTTGTACAGATACAGAAGCTGGTGTATTACATGAAGGCCAGTTGTATCAGCTATACGGATACAGATTACTTGGTCAATTTTACAGATACAGAATGATGCAAATGTACATGATACAACTGTAAGCTTTCGTAGAACTTCAAATGAAAGCTTGGCAGTCTTGGCCACTTTTTTTTTACCTCCTTCTGCTGCATCTTCTGTGTGAACTCCAAGTTCATCCTCTCCAGTTCCGTCCGCACCAGCTCCATGGCTGCCTGCTTTGCCTTGTACTGGCGCTCTGCATCACTCCTGAAATATGACAAATTTTCTTTATAATCTTGAATAGTAACCTGTAACCACCTCATGGTTGTCTCTGTGCACACTGTGCAACATATAATCTCCAATCAAATGTTCTTCGTACTTTTACACTGAGTAAGAATTTTTCAATGGTGTGCCTAAAGGTAAAATTACAAATGGTGCAACTATGTTGACTTGTTTTTCAAAACGTTTTAATTAAAAATGTGTAGGTAATTTTGAATGTTGCCTGCACCAGTGCAGAATCTTGTCATTTGCGTTGAGATATAACAGTACTTACTCATGTAGAAGAGCCTTTCTTGTCTTGTCCTTAAACTGCTGCATGTATTCTGCCGACTGGCTGATGTGCTCTTTTGTTTTCTGTAAAACAGAAGTATTAATGGTATGAGGAAACAATCAGTGCAGTAAGTTTGCCACTGTTTTAAGAGTTCTCCATTGTATGTATTGGCTAAGGGTAATGTTACAAAGAGTAAATGTGCTTTACTTGTATTTTTTTTGTGCTGCCAAACTTAAATTTCAGTACCAAGGACAGCCACTGTCTCTTTCTGATCAACAGTAACTCTCTTTACATCTGTAGATGTTGCTTAAAGTGACTTTAAGTTTCTTATGATAACTAATGAGAAATCATCATTATGGTAAAATCAGTTAGTTTGAGCCATGTTTTGAAGTGACCATGGATCAAAGATGGTGCCTTATCTTGTCAATGTGGGTTGTGTATAAGAAGACCAGATTCTATACTATAGGTCCGCTGGGTTAGACAGGTTTGACTTAGCCTCTATAGCAGGCTCATAGAACTTGGGGTTTGGTGGTCTTCGGCTGTTTTCTGATTAGCCCAGTTCTAGCAGGCTTATAGAACTGGGGGTTTGGTGGTCTTCAGCTGTTTTCTGATTAGCCCAGTTCTAAAAACCGGTAATTCAACCAGGCCGGCTATGTTGTCTATATGCAATCAGAAAATAGCACATAAAAGATCCCAAAGACCCTGAAGATCCCCAAACCCCCAGTTTTTGGCATGCTATGGCGGCTAGGTTTGACAGCATTTTAGGTCTGACCTCCTCCGTCTGGTGTACGTAGTCCCTCTGCAGCTGCTCCTGAGTCTGAAGAGTTTTGTTCAACTTCTTGTCCTCCTCCAGGGTTTTCTTCTGGATGGCTGCAAGGTAACAAATCTTGTCATTAATTAAAGAATTAAATTTAATACATGTAACAGGTTTCTCCATGGACTGACTCAATTTATGACATAGTTACCAATCAATCAATCAATACCCACAATCCCACCAAGCTTTCTCCATCAAGAAAACCTAAAAAAAACACATTTCTTCTGAAATCACAAAACTCCCTTTAAAACAGAAAAATTGCTGCTGCCTTCTAAGATTAACAGAGACCACCTAAAAACAAGCAATGTGAGGCAATGTGTCCCTTTATGTTTTATACCAATTAATAGCTAGAACCCCCTATGACACAAAATAAGAAACTGTTTTCAGTCATTGACATCACACTTTTGCCTCACATATATCAGTTTGTAACTATGGGATAGGATTGATCCAACTTCCTACATTAAAAAATGACCAAAAAATTGACTTTGAATTTAGTTTTGCGGCCCTGAAATTGAATTGGATGATTTTGAACTTTGAAGAAATGGCACATCATGCCTTCAGAGATATTCCTTAAGCCGGAGGGCAGCTTACACCAGCAGCTATACTGATACAGATACATAATTGATACAGATATAGATACGTACAGTTCTCGAGATCTCTGATGACCCGTTTGACGTGTCGCTGTTTCTTGAGCACGTCTCCCTCCACACGCTTCAGCTCACGCTCCGCCTGCTTGTGCTGCCACATGTGGTCCTGACAACAACAAGAAACACTCGTTTGTTTGTTTTTATGTTTACCAAAGGAAAACATATTGTTTTTGCTCAGTTTCCTCTTCTTCTTCTTCTCCAAACACTGACCTCTGACCTGGTCAATGACCTGAACCAGACCGTCTCTCACCATGGTAACTACTAGTAGTGTTGGGTTACATCATGTTGCAATTTTATAGCAGGATGGATTTAGAGTCTTGGCACCATTATGTGTTTCAAGAAAGATTAAAAATTTTTGAACTTCCAATTTGTTATGTAGGAAATAACAGTCCAAACCTGCTTCAGAATTACTTATATCGACACAAATGAACTTTGGGGTCAACTTGAAGTTCAAGGTGAAGTTTGTCCTTACCTCCACGACCTTCATCCTCTTCTCGTAGTCCTTCTGGTCCTTCTTGATCTTGGCTTGAAGGTCGACGACCGTCTCCACGGAGGAGGCACGTCTTGGGGACGTCTTGACGCGCGGGGAGAGCTCCTTCACCTCAAAGGTGTGCGTGTAGCGGTGGGAGTCCAGGAACCCCTCAGGTCCTACCTTACGCTCCTTCTCTCTGGGTTGGGGGGAGAGTTGGGCATGCAATCTCGGTTAAGTACAGATAGCAACAACATTACTGTAAATCATTTCATATTTGTGGTAGATGAGAAAATTTTACATTAATTTAGAAAAAGTCTGCGAACTACTTGTTCTCCAAAGGCCAAATTTAATTTGTTGGTTCACAGATCTGCTTCATTTTTTTTCTGACTTGCAAAAAAATAATTCAGGTTGCAATCAACCCCAAAATTAGCCTCATATTTTGGCCCCAATAGTTGAAGAAAATCCTTGTCTTCCTAGTTGTTACAGTGAGTTTTTACAGCAATCAATGTAAAGGTTTGATTAAAAGTTTAAAATTTACTGTTTTGGAATGAACTGGTATGAATTAAATGGGAGAGCTGCTTGAAGAATGATGTAGATAGGATAATATGTGTAGGTGTCTGTGCTTTTGTTTGAAAACCACTTTGCAATGGGGCCTTTCAGGTTGTCATTTATATTCAAATGTAGTGCTTGCCAGTGGGAATTTCTTTCCAATCACTAAATTGATCTTTTCTCTGTAAAACAATGGACTCCAGTTATTTGTCTAATACAATCTGGACTATTTCTCATTAGGCAACACCAAGTTAATTTTTTTGTTCTTAGACTTAAAGAAAAAGTTTTTTTAACACATCTTGATGTATTTACTCTGTATCAATGTATGTAATTGCCAGTGTCCTTTTTACTAGCTGTGGGTCCAAAAATAAAGAAATCTTTAAGAAACAAGAAGACTTCAGACTTCCGGATGTATTGGTTTTTTGTGACCTTCAAGTTCACCCCATTTCCTGTATCTGAACTTTTAACACTGTCATCTGCTTGTCAATCTTTCTCCCACCCCATGTGCTGTCAACCTACATGTCCAGACAGGCACATAAACCCACAGCTCAGCCACCCAAAGCAATACTTCCGTATGAGAATGTAGTAAAAGACATACTTGAGAAAGTTGGCATATTCGGCGGCGCTCTTCCTGTCAACCTACTCTGTCCAAACAAACAGACACACAAACACACAGCTCAGCCACCCAAAACAATACTTCTATAAAGTAGTAAAAGATTGAGAACGTACTTGAGAAAGCTGGCGTACTCCGCATTGGTCTTGTTGGTGGGTAGTTCCAGGTTGATCTTTCTCTCCCCCCGCCCTATATACATGTACTGTCATCCTATTCTGTCTGGACAAACATACACACAAACCCACATCTCAGCCACACAAAACAACACTTCTAGTTCTGCACAAGAAAATACTAAAAGGTTGAAGAACGTACTTGAGAAAGCTGGCGTACTCAGCAGCGCTCTTGTTGGTGGGTAGTTCCAGGTCAATCTTGGGCGGTCGGCGCAGCTCGAAAGCGCTGCCGGGTCGGGCGATGACATCGTACCGGCTGTGCAGCAGGTTGGTGTGCTCAAATGGGAGAACCATCCTGCAGCTGGGGGTGATGGAAAACAGGAAAAAGGGTGAATAGAAAAAAGGTCCCATTCCACTCTGTGCAGAGCATAGGAGTGGCACCCATCGCCATTTCTGTAGCCCTTGGGCCACACAGACACAGTTGTGCAAGCACTTACCAGCAGGAGGCTAGTCCATTGGTAGTGGTGTGAGTTTAACTCCCATATTCTTTCTCAAATGCTGAGTGCTAAGCAGAGAATGCAGTAATATGTATGTACGATTTTCAAAGTCTTTGTTACGACTCGGCCGGGGATTGAACTCACAACCTACCATTATACCAAATGCAAGGTGAGGACTACCCAATTGGCCATTGCACCCGTAACCTAAAAGGTCGATAGCACCTCATTATTAGTAGAAATGCCACACCAATTTAATTTGCTAGTTCTCTAGCACACTTTTTGTATATTGTACGTACAGAATCTTGCAGAATGAATTCCATACAGCATTACAAAACAACTACCATGTCTAATGCAATAAAACTACACAACAAGAAAAAAAAGAACAACAACATCATAATACTTGCTTATTTGCAACTGGATCCGGTTACCCACCTTTACTGTTCTAACCCAGTCACCGCTTTGTGTTCTTGTGTTGACTGTGTTTTACATAATTTGTGTCAACTGATCCCTTTATACATTTTGCAGAAGGGGCACAGTGGCATTGTCAAAGCTTTTGCAACCCATAACATCTCATTGTCAAGTGCACACTTCAAGTGTAGCTTAGAGGCATAATATTTGGATATGAACAATAATAGAATGCTTATCCTACTACTAATAGTTTCAACCAAGGAACAATACGTTGCTTAAGGTAGGTTACAGTATTGTCATTGCAGATGTTCTGGGGTATATGGGCAACCTTAAGAGAGTTTGATATTAAAATATGAACACCTAGTTTTATATCTATACTTATTTATCTATTTATTTATTTCTGTTACTAGTGTTAGGTTTAGCCAGGGTAGCTTTGATTGATGCAATTGCAACTACTGCTTTACAGGTCGTCCCAGGGTCACAAATAGCACAAAGTTTGTATAGTTACAAACAAACTACAACTACACACATTCGACAATACAATCTAGATGTGTATAAAACACACCCTTCTTGCAAAGTTAACCATCCACGCAAGTGTCATGACACCAACCTATGCGAAACCAGGGAGAAACATAGATTAAACAAACAAACGCTAAAACGGCTCGGTTAATATTACCTTTCTCCGTGCCAAAGTCGGTGGCTGTTCCAACTGTTGACGTTTTTCTCCCAACGCAGAAGTTGTTTTTGTTTACATCTGCACTCAAAGCGATCCTAAATGATGTTTATAAGCAGAGCACTTGTAGAAATAGAGGTATAATAGCAGCGTGGGAAAGGTTTGAGCCCGCACTTAGCTATTACCTGTGTGCCGGCACACCTGGCCAGTCTACCTGCCCGTCGCCTAGGAGACGGACGGACGCGGACGGTGGCCCGGCCGGCGGAGCACCGCCTTCTGTTGTACGTATCAATGCGCCAGGCGTTGACTTCCGGGTTTGTTTATATTTCGTCAATTCACGAGTTTGATTTGCGTTAAATACGGATTTTTTTGTCTCTAGTTATTTTCTTTATCTAATTCGGGATAGATCAGAAATAAATTTGGACATAAGTGATGTATGGATAGGTTTTCATGCATTTGTTGATGATTGGACTCTTTTCTTTAAGCGGAAGGACACACGACCTGTCAGGTTGTAGCCATGGACACAGGGCTGCAGTGTGTCCTGCAGATCAGTTTGTAACCGCTAGGGGCGCCGTTAAGCTGTATTGAGCGATCGTTTGATCAATTTACTTATACTGGGCGGTGGGTTTGTCTGTTGGTTTCTGTCTGGACATCATTACTCGAAAAGTTGTTGATTGATCTATGTGAGTTCGATTGATGGACCCCCTGGCGGCTGTCTTTAGTACTGCAGCATTAGAGAGTACAGTTTGCCAAACTGTACTCTCTAGCGGACCAACTCTAGCCTCTACCAGGCTTCGGGAGGCGGCTGGAAAGAGTAGAAATCGGCCAAACAGAGGGAGATAACATGCCGAGGGAGTTGATCTAGAACAGTTTGCCGAGGGATAACATCCCGATTTCTACTCTTTCCAACTGCCTCCCGAAGCCTGGTAGAGCCTAGAGTTGGTCCGAGAGAAAGTACAGTTTGGAAAACTGTACTCTCTAGCTGACCAACTCTCCAGGGCCTTCCCGAAGCCTGCTAGAGGCTACGAAACAACCAAGACAACTGGACACGTCCGTCCCAACAGAGTGCCAATCACCTCGTTGGTAACGGTTGCCATGGCGGGATTAAGCATATCCGCTGTTTTCCCTACACCACCTGCCATGACCGGGCCTGGGGTTCGTCCGGTTCTGACGTTGAGCGACTCGGTCCGTCTCGGAGAGATTAGGGGTAGATAACCTCCTTAATAGCAGGATCGATGGCTTAGGCTTTTTAGGGCTTTTACTATGCTATTTTTTTCTTCTTTCCTCCTTTAATAGCTGGCTATAGTCTCCACCAGACTCGATCCTTTGCAGACTGAATAGATAGTAGAAATCGGCCTTAATAGAATGTAGCTGGCCAATTTGCCTGCCGTTACATTTATTTCTAGGCCGATTTCTACTATCTATTCGCCTGCAAAAGAGTCTGGTGGAGACTAAGCAGGCTCTTACGACTTGGGCTTTTTAGGGTTTTTATGATATGCTTATTCTTCTTCTTCTTATGGCATATCACTTGTGGTTCGGATTGGTTAATTGATACAAAAATGGGCTTTGGGCTTTTATAATGCACTTTTTTTCTTCATATATGGCATATCACCGTTTTATCATCTACCATTTCTTATTATTATTTCGTCAACATTTCATACTTGTAGCGTTTAAAATAGCCCAGGAACAAGCTATGTTATGTTTTTGGTATCACGAATAAACAGCTAGAGCCAGCCCGCAATACGAAACCAGGGGCAGAAGCAACCATTTTCCATCAGTGATATCGCATGCTAGTCTCATAGATATCAGTATGCTATGGGATTGGGTTGATTCAACTTTAGTTACTACATTGAGAAAAAAAATTGTTGAGAAATGCGAGCAGTAAAGCTGGATTTGCATAGTCCCTTTTCTCATGAAAATTTTTCTCTATGACGCTTTGGGTGCCTTTGAAGCTTTAGGACTTGAACTCAATGGCTTTGGTGGCTATCTCGCCCTCCCCTCCCCATGTCAGCTTGTCGTCCCTCCCCCTCCCAGCCGCCTCTCTCCTTGTTTCCTGTCGTCGTGGTGGGATCCTGACCGCTCTTAAGTTCTCGCCTGGCGAACCCTGAAGTCTGCGAAACCTTCTAATTATAGTAAAGTGGCGGGAGGATGGAAGCCAGCTGGCCTCCCTGGTAATAACGACACAGGTGACACGCAGTGAGACAAGACAGTCTTGTTTTTGCCTCTAGTGTATACAAGATCGATCCATCAAGAGGGGAGTTAGCAATTGGGCAGTTCACTTACACGTACTCGACTTGAAAACCACATGGCTGCTGGGAGAACGGCCAAGTTACATCTAGCCACGGTACCGTCACCAACTGTAGGTTCTACATCATACAAATCTAGTCTTAGAGCAGGGAGGGACATTTCTGAGTCTTAGTATTGTATTGTATCCAGAACCGTGCCTATCTAGTTTTGTGCCTGAATGGGTTAGGGTTAGGACCAGGCACGGTTCTGGATAGTCTCCGCGTATCCAAGAACGTAGGTTTACCCTACGCACAGTTCTATGATACGCGTGGACTATCCAGGACTATGTTTCTGGATGAAGCATGGTTCTGGATAAAGCATCGTTCTGCATAGGTGATAACTATACAAGACTGTGTTCTGGATACATAATGGTTTTGGATAAAGTACGATTCTGAATAGAGCATGGTTCTGAATAAAGCATTGTTCTGGATAAAGCGTGGTTTGAATAAAGCACGGTTTTGGATAAAGCGGGGTTTGGGATAAGCATTTTTCTGGATACATCATGGTTCTGGATAGGCGTGGACTATCCAGGACTGTATTCTGGAAAAAGCATGTTTAGAGCACGGTTCTGGATAGAGCACGGTTCTGGATAGAGCACGGTTCTGGATAGAGCACGGTTCTGGATAAAGCACGGTTCTGGATATAACATTGGTGTCGGTGTACAATGTACGTACGGAGTGTGTCCATGGAGAGACCACACCTAAACAACTATGGATCTGACATGTAAACGCCACAGCTGTTGTTAACAATAAATATATACCAGTAGCAGTAACTCAGAAAAGCATTGAACAGATACGGAATAAGAACGGCGATGTTTGTACCCACAGACACATGTTTATACAAATAGACGATTTGGTGAATGAAACGTTACCAGTATTGATGTTACTAGTAGTAATCCGCCTATTGGAATGAACTTCCATTCCAATAGGCGGAAACCGATAACAGGCCAACATTGGGTTTATATAACTCATAACTGTACGAATTGAACATAATGTACAAGTATGATTTGGAAGACAACAAAAACACAAAATACTCTTCTTTACGGAATTCAATTTAAACTATTGATGGTATTTTGGTAGTCTCCACCAGACTCCTTTGCAGGCTGAATAAGTAATACAAATCGGCCTAAAAAGAATGTAGCTGGCCAGGGGATTGGCCTGCCATAGAGGGTCCAGTTTGCCTGCACAGGCCAACTCCCCTGGCCAGCTACATTCTTTTTAGGCCGATTTCTACTATTTATTAAGTCTCTTTATGTTCACGGTAGCAAATTTTCACGGTCTGAGAAAAATGGATATGTTCACGGAACTATATATTCACGGAGGCTACAGGTGCAGGAAAAAGAAAGTACAGTAATTATTTGCTAATCTTGATGATAAGTTCACGGTACAGGGGTGACAGTGAAAAATCAGGAATTACAGTATTCAGCCTGCAAAAGAGTCTGGTGGAGACTGGATATTTTTGGCCGGTCGCCGGTCCACTGAAAAGAGCGTGTTATCTAGTGTCCGGAATGACTCAGTAAGTTCTGTGAGATAAAGTGACTTGCCGCCACGACAATAATCCAAAACAGACCAGTTCTAAAGTGTGAAGTAATTTGGAATGGTTACTACCATGCAAGTAGGGGATATATCAAACAGTTAGTGAGCGGGGGTCTAACACGGGACCTGGACAGTGTAACAAGCACGGGGAAATCACCTTACAAATAACGTTTGGACATCATGAAAGTTCATCAATTACATGTTTAGAGTTAAAACTTTAGATCCAACACAAAGAGTCAGTCTACTGAGGAAGACCAGAGTGACTTGTCGAAAGCTCTAGGTGAGAGAATTTTTTGTGTTGGATCTCTAAAAGTTTTAACTTTAAACAAAAGTTTGAACATAGTAGTACAAGGAAACGGCTTTTGACTATTGATAGTACTGGCTCTGTGTACAAAAGTCAATATTAAGTGGTCATCTTGTAAAAATGACCAAGAAATATCTTTGAAAATGAGTAAGTTTTAACAATCTTTGAAAGTGTCTTCGTACTTCCAAAACTACTTACTTAAGAAACTGGTATTCTTTGTGTCAAGAAGTTGTCCTACTACATTTTAATATTAACGAATCACATTCCTACAACCTTACTATATCGTCTAGATACATGTGTGACAAAAATAAATAGTGCAAATATACTCTTCCCTCGCATAAGTGCTTACATTCACTCAGTATTTTCTGTGCGCAGCGCACAGACTTTATATAACACTAAACACAATCAAACAACTTAAATCATATGTGAGGGGGAAAAGGAAATCCAACGAATTATTTACATGTTTAAACTTTTGTTAGAAAGTCCACACCACAGACAGACGGGTTCGTCCATATGAATACACATGCTAGTGATAGCGCACTTTGTCGTGCGGATATACTAATAGTACCTATCATATCCCAATCCAACCATCATATACATTTACACGTACTTCTATATTACAATATTGGCAGGAAGTCTTGAAGAAGACGTCACGATGCCCACACGACAAAAATCCTTGCGGTTTGGACATCACAAGAGATTTCTCCACGACTGGAGGCTACAACTTTTTCTTGCTATTTAAGACATTTAAGGGCCCGGTCACATAAGTCGCGCGATCGTCGCACGATTGTCGTACGATCTTCATACGACCGCAAAATGAGTCTTGGGATAGTCGTAGATGTGTCCTGCTCGATATATTAGATTCTTGTCGGCGGTTGATTCCGTAACAGCCTGATTGAACCTCTACGGTTGCATCACAGTTGTACGACTGTTTTCCCGTTCTGTTGTATGGAAGTTGTGTAACTTGAGTCCGTCGTGACTTTGTCCTGCTTAGTTGTGTCCTTTTTATGTAAACATATTGTTTTTGCTACGTTTCTTCCTCTTCTTCTTCTCCAAACACTGACCTCTGACCTGGTCAATGACCTGATTTGTTGACGTCTCTCACCATGGTAACTGGTGTTGGGTTACATAATGTTGCAATTTCATAGTAGGCATTTAAACTGCTGTCACCATATACATGTATGTGAATGTGTTTGAGTAAACATTATGCATTTTCTTTGCAAATGTTACTTTTCTAGTATTTTTTATGTATTACGAATTCTTACGACAATCGCACGACGACCTACGACGCATGTGACCGCGACCCGACGACGGTACGACAGTCTAGCGACACGCGCAGCTCTCCACAGACATGTTGGGGTAGACCTTCAGCACGACGTTTCTGTTCTCGTCGAAGTAGAGGATGCTGAGCGAGGACAGCTTGTCGGGCACACAGCAGGGAGACGGCACGCCAGACGTGATGCCCACCGTCCGCATGATGCTCTGGATCGTCGCGTGGTTAGAGGGTTTCATCACCTGGTGTACAACAAGAGCAAGTTTTTATTTACTTATTCATAACCACATTATGTGTTCGTAAATAATTTCATCAGGTTGGTAAACGACTGAATAGCAAAGTTCTTTTTATTCACAACCATTTATTTTTTGAGTCAGAATTGCCCTGATGAAGATGACAGAATTGCCCTGATGAAGATGACAGAATTGCCCTGATGAAGATGACAGAAGGTCATCGAAACGTCGGCTTGAAAAATAAATGGTTGTAATAAAAAGAACTTTGCTATTCACACATTATGTGTTGCTGTAATGTTTTGTCATGTCTTGTCAGCAGGACAAGCCCTTTGTAATATCCACTGGCTAGTTGGGCTGCCCTGACTGTGAGGGTTGAACAGCCAAACCAATAAATGAATAATATTTTATTTATTTATGATGACTCTCGACATACATGAGTAGTAAACGGCATGGTCAAACAGGTGTTCATGTTTGGACGCCTTTTTAAAGACATCATTCTATCTTGATACTATATTGCTACTACCTGTATATTGATACTATGTTGATACTATATTGATACTATCTTGACACAAATTGATACTATATTGACACTATATTGATACCATATTGACACTATCTTGAGACTATATTGATACTATCTTGATAGCTTACAACACAGTATCAAACTGGCAAGGCAGTATCCTTACGTTCCACTTGCGAAAGATATACCTGCGAATGTACAAAATAAGGGAGGAAAGTCTGATAAAAACGCATAGAGAGAGACGTCAAAAATAGGCCGAAGCCCAACCCTCTGCTTAGAGACTAGTTCAGGCTGTATGACAAAAAAGGACGACGACACCAGGTAACCTTTGCCACGCGATTTACACCACAAATCCGACATTTGGAGCATGTCTGGCCGAAAGGACTCAGATGTTTGTGCAAATGTGGCCCAGCTAACAACCGCGCGTGTCGCCTGATTTATGTGTGCAATCAATAAGGATAAGGAGACGGGATTATACCTAAAGTACATCGTGTTTGTCACGGTCTTTAATAAACATTAGAACTGCAGAGTCATTTTGGTGTAAGGATTTCAGCGCAGTAAAACTGAAATATATAGGGACACCTCGCGTAGCTTGTTTTGGGGATATTTCAAACGCTTGAAGTAAGAAATTATGACGACTATGTGCTATGAAATGGCAGTAAATGTCAATATCTGACAGATTTTCTCATCCAGAATATTTGTAGTTTTGCCACCATGGAATTGCATTGGACACATATAGCTAGCTGTGTCCTGTTTTTGCTTTCTTGTCTTCTGGGATGGGAGTTTTGATTCACGCTTTAACTTATCCACACACGTCTTGTAAAATATTTTTATCTTTCATTGTAAAAGTTGATGCAAGAATATAAGTTGTGCCTAACTTGAGTTCGCAGCCACTTTGTCTGTGTCCTTTCATATATGTATTTATCACAGTTCTTCTGATTAAAAAAGAGGAAGAATTGCACTGGATGCTTTGGGTGCCACTACAGTAGTGTAGCGTGTACAGAAGAAGTGTGGGACAGTGTAGCTATGCCGTGTGTGTGTCCCAGACCCCACGGCACGACAGATTTCCTCCAGAATTTATCCAGAATATTTCTGCTTGCCACCCTTAAATTGCATCCAGAATATTTCTGTTCCGTCGCCCTGTGAAGTTGCAATGGATACCACTAAAACTGGTGTGGGACAGTGTTTCTCTGCCCTGTGTATGTCCCAGACCCCACGGCTTGTTCTGGATCTATTTCAAACGCTTCAAGTATGTGCTAAGAAATATAGCAGTAAATTTCAATATCAGACAGGAGCCTCATCCAGAATATTTCTGTTTTGCCTCCCTTAAATTGCTTGGGATGTTTTAGGTGCTTTAGCTTCCACTACTAAAAGTGTGGGACAGTGTTTCTCTGCCCTGTGTGTGTCCCAGACCCCAGGGCTATACCTGTTGATGGCCGGTATGAAATGCTAACGAATATGTGCTAAGAAAAGGCAGTTAATGTACGACCGATTTCCTCATCCAGAATATTTCTGTTTTGCCTCCCTTAAATTGCAATGGATGCTTTATATGCTTTAGGTGCCAGTACTGTGGGACAGTGTTGCTATGCCGTGTGTGTGTCCCCGATCCCACGGTTACACCTAAGTCTTGAACATCTAACTCTAAACAGCGACTCTGCGATAGTTCTAGGAAAGAATGAATTTTTGTACACCCCAATCCTTGGTTGATAACTATGGTACTTGAAGGCATGACTATTTCTTGTTCTTTTCTTGACTGGTATAAGGTACAAGTCGTGTCACTGTGGAACAGTTTAGCTGTGCCCTGTGTGTGTCCCAGACCCCACGGCTATGACTGTTGATGGCCGGTTCTCGCACAATGGGCCGCACACAGCCCCACATTCTCAGGTGCGGCCTGTCGCTTCATACTCCAGCGCCCCGCGTGTTTACGTCTGTCACTTTCACATGATGAACGTCCCGAGCTGTCACAAGATTCACACCGCGCTCCTGTCACAGGTTAAACATCTCTGTCCTGAGGGCTTACACCTGCACGGACCCTCCACACCCCCCCTCCTGATCGCACACACCTACTGCACCTGTGGTGTAGCAATACCCCCCCTCGGGGTACGCCTGGGGGGTAGCCTAAATTGCAGGCAGGCCCCCGTAAAAGAGACATTTCCTTCCAACCGACCCGTCCGTTTAGCCTCTGCCAGGCTTCAGAAGCGGCTGGAAAGACTAGAAATTGGCTAAATCTGTATCAGTATAGCCGGTATAACCGCCCTTCGGCGTAACACACCAGCTTTGCAGGCACGCGGCGCGGCGGCAGCTAGCTATATCACACCGAACGACTTGTTACACCCAATCTTTGCACATAATTGCAGGAGTTGTTTAAAGCTTTCTAGTGATCATGCCCCAACTGTGCTTGGTGGCAACGAGGTCCAGTCTACGATAGTTCTGGGGAAATACGAGTTTTTCAGAGACACCTCAATCGAGAGATAAAATGCCGGGGGAGTTAGTGCTGACTAGAGTAGCCTGTATGTACGTAGATTCCAAAAATGTCCTTCTCTGAAGCCTGGTAGAGGCTACCAAAGCCTGGTAGAGGCTACCGGAGCCTGGTAGAGGCTGCCAAAGCCTGGAAGAGACTACCAGAGCCTGGTAGAGGCTACCAAAGCCTGGTAGAGGCTACCAAAGCCTGCTAGAGGCTACCAAAGCCTGCTAGAGGCTGCCAAAGCCCGGTAGAGGCTACCAAAGCCTGCTAGAGGCTACCAAAGCCTGCTAGAGGCTACCAAAGCCTGGTAGAGGCTTCCAAAGCCTGCTAGAGGCTACCAAAGCCTGCTAGAGGCTACGTTCCCTACAGGAAGTTCGGCTGAACCCGGCGGCAGTCCGGCTGCTGATGTGTTAGCTCAGACTCAGGTTGTTTGGAGACAACACTCGGCTGTGTTTGTGGTACTAGTAAGGGGGGGGGGTATATAACAGCTAGCCTGTATGTCCGACGGTGCTCTGGGTATTTACTGCACGTAAGTCACACATTCAGAACCTTCCCCCCAAATTGTCACCCGAACACCAGCCAATCAAGATCGGCTGAAGTTCGGGAGAAGTCTGGCCAGATTTGGGCCTAAGGTAAGGTCTCCCTTTCTATACGAATCGAAACAAATTCGACTTAAATTTGAGTCAAATTTGACCCCCCCGAACAAGTCCTGTACACTGCTGACTGTGTGACAGGTGCTTAACACGCACTAGGAACAAACGCCCAGAAGACAGGTCCCGTCAACTTCGGTTGGTCCAAGCTCAGCAGGCATGCTAATGTTATTTGCGCTCTCCGTGTAGAAAACCCGGCTGACAAAGGCCGGACTCACTCGGACAGGAACTGAAGAGGGCGGCAAATATTGGTCCTGAGCTCAGGACGGGTCCGCTTGGCCTTCACCCGGTGGGTATATAAAGGTGGGCCGCGGGATGGGGGTAATAAAGAAGTACGGGCCACAAACCTGTGTATACTAAACTGGAGAGGGTACGGAACCAAGCCGCAAGATTGTGGGTGTCGCTCGAAAAATGTCCAGACTATGCATGATGTACAAAATGACTAATAAACTACCAACCACTAAGTACCTGATACTAGTACCAGCCAAGAAAAGAAATAACCGTGCCTTCAAGTACCAGAGTTATCAAGCAAGGATTGAGGTGTTCAAAAACTCATTCCTAGTCACCAAGTACATTAGGGAAATCATCATTAGATAGTTTAAAACAATGTTTAGAGTTAGATGTTCAAAGGTTAGGTGTAACAGGTCATTCGGTGTACTAGTAATATAGACAGCTGCCGTCGCGGCGCGTGCCTGCGAAGCTGGTGTGTTACTAGTATTACGCTGAAGGGAGGTAATACCGGCATACAGATATAGATATACTGCTTTAGGGGGAGGGGTGAAAGTCTTGTGTTGGCAGTTTTTAAACTTCTGTACCGGTTTCTTCTCAACTCTATGATGTTAGGTGCTATCGTCGCTGGAAAAACAGCCCTCTATCGTATATACAGGTGCTTCGTGCGATGTACGTGACCGGAGATTTAACGTGACCAAAACAGTAAAGAATGTCCAGCACAAATATACACTGTGACTCTCCCGGTAAGTTACAACTACCGTCCGATTCTGAAATACAGTTTCATCTGCATCTGCACAAGTATCTGATACCAGCCCAGAAAAGAACAAGAAACAGTCATGCCTTCAATATCAGAGTTATCAACCAAGAATTGAGCTATTCAAAAATTCGTATTTCCCCAGAACTATCGTAGACTGGAACTCGTTGCCACCAAGCACAAGTTGGGGCATCATCACTAGAAAGTTTTGTGCAAAGATTGAGTGTAACAAGTCGTTCAGTGTGATACAGCTAGTTGCCGCCGCGCCGCGTGCCTGCGAAGCTGGTGTGTTACGCCGAAGGGCGGTTATACCGGCTATACAGATACAGATACTCCCCGTTTTGTACTGATTCTTGGGTAAACTTTGCTTGGTTACAACAGGTGCAGGGTTAATACTAGTATACTTTAATCCTCCATCTTGTTGACCTGTCCTGACCTCCCTGACGCAATCGGGATGACGTTCGGAATCGAAGCTTCCGCTCTCCTGGTCATGTTTTGAGAGGAAAGAATTTTGTTTAACCGGTAAACCGCCTTTGTAAAACAGTTTTGTACATGTACGTACAAGCTGCGTAAGACCGGACTGTGAATCTTGTTGTTGTCCTTGTTTAACGTCCAATATATCGCTAGACGTGGTCTCTTGGTGCTGGTTTACTTGGTTCAGTTCAGAGTAAATCGTCTTTCTACTAAATTCTAGGTATATAACACTTGGTGACTGTAAGATTCGAACCACTCACACCTGGAAGGACCCCCCTACTCTTTTCGATAAGTGCGGTGGGTTCTTTAACGTGCGTGGGGTGTGGCTCTCCCAAAACACGGGACCTCCATTTAACGTCCTATCCGAGGGACGTCCCTAACCGAAGCTAGGTACTCTTTTCGATAAGTCCGGTGGGTTCTTTAATGTGCGTGGGGTGTGGCTCTCCCCAAACACGGCACCTCCATTTAACGTCCTATCCGCAGGAATGGACGGGCCAACATAAACACGGCCTCTCCGTGTGGACGCAGGTGTGAGGCGGGAGATGGACGGGATCCAACCCCGCCTGTGGACTGTTGTCTTACTACACATACTGCCGGGGACGGGCCAGTGATAGTGCTAGCCTCCATAGCATGCCAAAAACTGGGGGTCTTCAGGGTCTTTGGGAGCTTTTATGTGCTATTTTCTGATTGAATATGATATAGACGGCCGGCCAGGTTGAATTACCCCCGTTTTTAGAACTGGGCTAGAAAACAGCCGAAGACCACCAAACTCCCAGTTGTATAACTTAAGTATAAGCCTGCTACGGAGGCTATACTAGTGCTGCGTTAGCCCATATGGCCCTAGCCTCTTCCAGGCTTCGGGAGGCGACTGGAAAGAGTAGAAATTGTTCAAATAGAGAGAGAAATAACATGCAGGGGGAGTTGGTCCACAGAAGAGTACCGTGATTTTACACCCTCGGCATGTTATCTTTGGCCAATTCTCTTTCCAGCCGCGTCCCGAAGCCTGGTAGAGGCTACTGTTAGTCTATAAGGGCCCTTATCACATCGAACGATCTGTTACATCTAACCTTTGCACCTATGACTCGAGGTGTTTTAAATCTATTGATCATCTAATGATGATGCTCCAACTGTACTTTATGACAACGAGTTCCGTTTTACGATTGGTGTCAGAAAAATAACAAAACTTCGTGTGTGTTTTTTTTTTCGGGTATAAAGCATGGACTAGATTTTGTCACACGGCTACGGATGGATAACTCTGAGCCAAGCCGACAGAAATGTGGAAAGTCAGCCTGAGGATGACCCGTTTGTCCGCCGCTGACCTATGACCTGTGTGACCTTGCGATCACGGCAGGTGACACGCACGTTAGTCACGTGTCAGACCAGGTATCACAACTCCAAGCAGATACGGTGAGGATCCGGCTCATTCAGCAACATTTTTTTTACTCTTGACTCTTGTCTATTTTCTAGGCTTGTACAAAACTATTTCCAAATTCCATACACTTAAGTACTGTAGAATAATCCACATTCCTTATGCATATGCACCTAGACAAACTTTCCATCGAAAACATATCTGTTCTTTTTCATCTCTAATTTAAGTATAACTGACAAGCGTTGAATTTACCTGATGATAGTTGTTAGTTTCTACTTTCCTTTTGTATTTCTAATCATGTCCTCGTGGTCTGGCTGCCAGGCTACACTACTCCCAGCACCGTAGAGATACCGGGGACCCTACGATGGACTGGCTAGCGCACACTAGCCTCCATAGCATGCCAAATACGTGGGGGTTTGGGGGTCTTCAGGGTCTTTGGGATCTTTTATGTGCTATTTTCTGATTGCATATAGACAACATAGCCGGCCTGGTTGAATTGCCCCTGTTATTTGAACTGGGCTAATCAGAAAACAGCCGAAGACCACCAAACCCCCAGTTCTATAAGCCTGCTACGGAGGCTAATCAGAAAACAGCCGAAGACCACCAAACCCCCAGTTCTATAAGCCTGCTACGGAGGCTAATCAGAAAACAGCCGAAGACCACCAAACCCACAGTTCTATGAGCCTGCTACGGAGGCTAAGCGTTTCACCCGAACTATCTGCCTCTGGGCTGTACAAATTACTACCAGTCATCGCCCGTCAACCAGAGGAAATTGGAATGGGGCACAGGTCACATTGTCAACATTCAACCTTCATATCTACATGCCTGTTCCCAGCCAGAAAAGGCCGAAGGCTGTGCGCTAGATGACTGTAAAGTTGGGTTACTTTTATAACTTTTACGTTGCTCCCTAGAATAAATACTGTCTTGCCTATTGGATACTGTCTTACGATTGGTGTCGACTTGGAAATCGTGCCCTCCACCCATACCATTCTAGCCTGGATACCAGGCTGTTCCCAGGAGCCAATGAGCTAGTCTGTATAATAGCTCTTGCAACAGTTTGACACCCAGGCTAGTTCTGGAGCCGAGGGCCTAGCCTATATACTGGCCCTGACAACAGCCTGGCACCCAGGCTAGCCCTAGAGCCGATGAGCTAATCTGTATACTGGCCCTGGTAACAGTCTGGCACCCAGGCTAGCCCTGGAGCCGAGGAGCTACCATGTACAGTACCCCTGACAAGAGTCTGTTACCTAGGCTAACACCATCCCGACTATATGACCGATAAAGTAAACTGCCACATACCTAAGACATGGGGAAGTCGCACGTGCCAGGGCAGTAATAGGCGTCGAACAGTCTGACACCCAGGCTAGCCCTGGAGCCGAGGACGCAGCCTGTATACCCCGGTAGCACTCTGACACACAGGCTAGCCCTAGAGTTGAGGATCTAGCCTATACACTAGCCCTGACAAGAGTCTGATACTGTAACATACCTTAGACATGGGGAAGTCGCACGTGCCGGCGCAGTAATAGGCGTCGAACGCCTTGGGAGAGATGATCCAGTCGCTCCAGCCGATGTCGGCGAAGTCGACGCGCATGGGCCGGCGAGAACACACCACAGGCGTCTCCTGCGTGTCGTCGGCGTCGTCTTCTGTCGTACTTCTGTCGCCGCTGGTCCCGACAGGGATGCGGATGAGCTTGCGCTTCCTGCCGCGGTTGCGGTTCCGCCGGTTCTTTTTGCGTCGCTGCTTGGACCTGGGCTTCAGAGCTTTCATCATGCTCCGTCTGTCGTATGTCTCCGGTTCCTCGGCATCGTCCTCGGGGATCTCGTTGTCGAAGATGGCTCGCGGGCGTCGGGATCTCGCCACCGCCTGTCTGTTGTCGGTCCGCGCGGAGTCGGACCGCGAGTTGGACATGGGGATGTTCGTGCCGTCGTCCTCAGTGATGTCGGTGTTGGAGTCGTTTGCGAAGACGACCAGGAAGGGGTAGGACGGGTGCCGGGGACGTCTGATCCTCGGCTGTATCCCGCTGCCGCCGCGGTACGTGATTATGAACCCCAGAAGACTCTGGTGCTCCCGGGAAAAGTTGATGGCCCTCCCCACGTCCTCCACCTGCCAGCCGTAGCTGAACATGGTGATGTTGCGGGTCTGGGTAGTGGCCGCCGCACCCGCGCCAATAGGAGGGATGCTCAGCAGAGTCACCTGCCAGTAGTCGGGAGGTAGAAAAAAATACAACAGTTAGTAAACAGGGACATGATCTCGTCCTCTTTTTTTTTATTCCAACATCTAATCACAAGGCGTGGTGACGGCACACTCAAGTTTTTCAACTTATATTTATGCCGTCACCAACACGGGACAAATACAGGACAGGACAATACTCATTTTCACCTGAGCGAAGTGAGGAAAGTCGTGTCGAGTGCCTTTCTCAAGGGCACAAGATCGGTGGCATGTCAGAACTCGAACCCGGGACCTCTTGGTTCCGAGTCGAGCACTCTGCCGCTACACATTTGTATTTATCTTTGTGTTTATGAATAATAATAAAAAAAGAGAGAAAAGGAGTCACCTGCCAGTAGTCGGGCTCCTCTATGGGCGCCCGCGCGTACTGCCTCAGCCTCGCCCGGGGCAGGAAGAACCGGATCTCTGCCGAGATGACGGTCTCCGTCCGCGGGATGGAGGACGAGTTGAACAGGTACATCACCTGCCCGTCATTACCCAGTCTTCCTGTACAGGAGGGAAGCAAAACAAGACAACGTTTAGCGAACAGTTAAATGACAACAGTAGAGATACAGGGTGGCAAGGTGGTCTTGTGGTTAGGAATCTTTGAATCTATAGGTTCTGAGTTCGAATCCCAAGTTGCTTTCCTGCGTAGGAGCTTAGCAAACAACAAGATGATGGTTGGTGATACAGGGTGGCAAGCTCGGCTAGGAATCATTGAATCTAAAGGTTCGAATCCCTAGTAATAGGCCTCGATGTTGTGCCCTTGGGAGAGGTACTTTACACCTATTTCCTCACTTGACGCAGGTGGAAATGAGTACTTTAGTACCTAGCTTCGGTTAGGGACGTTCTCTCAGATGGGACGTAAAGCTAAGGTCCCTTGTTTGATGTATTTTTGTCTTTTTAAACGTTTGCACTGTATCTAATGCACTATTTCCTATGTATATATGTAACGAATTCGAAGTGCCTGTATTCCATGTATTTGAGCCTTGGAAGACTAGCCCTGCAGGGCTAAAAGGTTTCGAAATAAATGAAAAAAATGAAATGAGTAGAGCCACACTCCGGATCCCTCAAGCACGTTAATAAATATCCCACCACATTTCTCTAAAAGATTATGGGTATTATCATTTAGTGGCTCAAATCTTACACGCAGTCTGGTGTTACGCAGCTTGTACCTACAGTACAGAACATGTGTGTTACGCCTAAAGGCGGTTTACTGGTTATGCCAAACAAACAGACACGTCTCCGAGCTGAGCCGTGGACCAGCTGTCTCCCACACGCCGCTGGTTTACACGGCTTCAGCGCTAACCTTGACCCTGACATGCTGCCGGAAGCTCTGCGTCATCCCAGTACGTAACAAGGCAATCAGAGATGGCAGACTTCACCCCCTCTATGGAGGTCAGAAAATATACGTAGACACACACACAGAAACACACACACAGAAACACACACGGACGCACACACACACACACACACACACACACACACACACACACACACACACACACACGCACACACAGATACACACGCACGCACACACACACACACACACACCAACACACAGGTACTCTAGAACAATATTTTCCTCCGTTGGTAGTGAAGTATCAAAACAAGACATCATTTTTTCCACATTAACGTTGGCGAAAGACTTTTTGCTTTTCAGTATGGACCCGTCCTTACTAGGTTTTTGATTAGGTTGTGGTTTAAGAGTTTTGTCCGCTTCCTTTCAATCTACCTTAGAAGACAGCTAGAAACAACTGCTAAAAGTATTCTGTGCGACCATGTAATGTTGTCAGATTCAAACATGTAGGATATTAGTGTTCAGCGGATATGATACATGTGTGTGTACCGCCCATCGCTTCAAGGACGCGACAAATTTGTCCGTCTTCTGTTTTGAATTTAAGAGTCAACAACAATCAGATGGGATGTGTCTCTCGCCGTCTTTTTGCAGCCTCTACCAGGCTTCAGGAGGCGGCTGGAAAGAGTAGAAATCGGGCAAATAGAGAGATAACATGCTAGGGGAGTTTGTCTGCTGGGAGAGAACATTTTGCCGCACCCGAAGCGGCTAGTAGATGCTAGTCTTTGTTTTTGTGCCGCGAAGAACCAGCAATACGGACTGCCGGCAAGCTGACACAACTATCCGGAATTTTTGTCATAACAGGGCCAAGTGGCGGTTAGTCAGGACCTCACAGGGGACCAAAAACATCCACACTTCCTCCTTTTGTACCTGTTTATTGACAGAATTAAAGTTCGGGGAGCTCTGCCAAGTAGAGGAATTTGACTCACTATGACAGCTATGACATCTTCCGGTAGGCTTGAAATCATGTTCTTTACATGTTGACAATGTACGGGTATAGATAGAACCGCAAATGTGCACCTGTTTTAGTCTGGGAAAGGGCAAATGCTAGCTCGTTGCTGGAAGCTAGGCTAGCATGTTTGCCCTATAGCCGAGGAGGTGGCCTGTGTAGGCCCTGGAAACAGTCTGTCATCCAGGCTAGCATGTTAGCGTTTGTGGGCCTTGGAATGCGCCTGGTATCCAGGCTACAGCATGTTTGTCCTAGAGCCGAGGAGCTGGCCTGTGTAGGCCTTGGAAACGCCTGGCTTCTAGGCTGACAGAATCCCCTCCACGACAGTAGCACTCGTAGCCTCTGCCAGGCTTCGGGAGGCGGCCGGAAAGAGTAGAAATCGGCCAAATAGAAAGCGGCTAACTGTTCTCTTTAGCAGACCAACTCCCTCGGCATGCTATCTCTCTATTTGGCCGATTTCTACTCTTTCCAGCCACCTCCCGAAGCCTGGTAGAGGCTAGCACTCGCGCGACTGACTGAAGGCGGTTTTTCGAGAGAGAGAAAAAAAAGAGAAGAGTTCCCGCTGAGAAATTGTGGAAAGGACGGAAACTTGAGACGAGTTGACGCGAAGTTTCTTGCGGCGAAACGCCTTGGCCCTAGAGCCGAGGAGCGGGTCTGTTTCGGCCTTGGAAAACGCCTGGCTTCCATGCTAGGCAGAATCCCTTCCACAGCAAAAGCACTCGCGACTGAAGGCGGTTTTTCGGAAGAAAGAGTTCCCGCTGCGAAATTGTGGAAAGGACGGAAACATGAGACGAGTTTACGCGAAGTTTCTCGCGGCGAAGAAATCATCGAGGTCGAGCGGCAGTGACAGGATTACCCGGGGAAGTAGCGGGTTGTGTGACCCGGGGCACGCCGCACCTGTCCGCGGGATAGCCCGGCCAAAACTAGTACAGATGTTTGGACACTCCCAACACGGGATCAAAGGGTCCGGAGCGATGGGGCGATTATGGGCAGGCGGCCTCCTCGGTACAAAACAAACGGGAGAGATACACTACAGGAGCAGCAAACCTACACATTGGCACAGGAACAGGCAGTACAGGGATAGACACACAAACAGTCTATGTGACTATAAAACAGGAGAGAGAGGAGAGAGAGAGAGAGAGATACACATACAGAAGAAAAAAGATAACAAAACAATTCTTTAAAACAAACAGAAGAGCTACACTACTGGAACATCAAACCTACACATTGGCACAGGCACAGTCAGGACGGAGATAGAGACACATAAACACATAGAGAGTTCGTAACGTTACGTGTCTATGTGATTTTGATAGAAGGAGAGACACAGAGAGAGAGAGGGGGAGAGACTGAGAGAGCTAGAGAGATTGAGAGAGAGAGAGCTAGAGAGAGAGAGAGAGAAAGAGAAGAGAATAAAACAACCGACAAGACAATATCGAATGGAGCCAGCGATTGTCAGAAAATGGAAGTAAATTAAAAGGTCACAATCTTCCCAATCAACATCTGCTTGGATAGCTACGTTCGCACACCTCAGGAAACATGACACCACTAGTATCTTTTGAGTGGGCGGGAAACATCAGTAGCTCCTGCCGCTGGTTACCCCGTGTCAAACGGGTACAGTTTGTGGGACCCCGTAAACTCCGGGGTTTCTGGAAGCGGCCTTTTTGGCCCAATAAAACCAAGGACGTTCTTGATAAAAACTAACCACTCACTGAAGGTGAAGGTGAGAAAAGGTCCAGCCGCCGTATTTCTTAGAAACTGCAACAATAGAACGTTCGAAGTGTTCGAAATAGAACAGGGGATTCGACGTGTTCGATAAGTGTTCGAAATAGAACAAGGGGTTCTACGTGTTCGATAACGGTCCTCATCGAACACCTATCGAACACGTCGAACCCCCTAGTCTATTTCGAACACTTCGAGCTGTTCCAAATAGAAGACCATAGAACAGGGGGCGGGGCTTATTTTGTTCGATCCGGAACGGTCTATTGTTCTGCTGCTGTTATTGTTGTTTGTTTACTGAGCGAGTTTATTTCGGCATTATTATATGACAGGCACGCACCAGGTATGTATTAACGGAACTAGCAATGGACTGGTGGATGTGAAATAATTTATCTAGTGTAAATGGAAGATGAATGAATGAATGAATGAATGAATGAATGAATGAATGAATGAAAATACGAATGAATGAAAATACGAATGAATGAATGACGCTGTCAAATTGGACAATAACAGGTGAAGAAAAATGTCTGAACCCGCACGTAGGCTCTCGTTCCGAAACAGATGACTTGTTGACAAGCCTTAATCAAATCATCCTGGGCCTCACGGGGAACATGTACTAATGGCATTCAATTTACTAGTAATACCTAATATAGCCTGGGTACCAGACTGTGGCCAGGGCAAAGGGTACATGCACTAACGACATTCAATTACTACCTGACATAGCCTAGGTACCAGACTGTTGCTAGGGCCAGTATACAGGCTAGCTTCTCGGCTCCAGGGCTAGCCTGGGTGCCAGACTGTTGCCAGGGCAAGTGTACAGGCCATGGAGGTCTACCTCCATGTACAGGCTAGCTCCTCGCCATTAACTCAAAATTGTCCCTAATACGTTACGAAAGTCGCTGTACTTTTGCTGTGTCAATATCAGGGAGGATACAGAACCGAAAGATGGTAAAATTAGGTTGCTGGAAAATGTTGTAACTATTTTTATTTGTTTTCTTTTACATGTGTCTTTAAGTGCAACTTTTTTTCCAGCATTCATTCCCCCATTCTTCAATTTCCCTCACAAACAAACAAACAAACATGCATCCCCACAGACCATTTCCTAGAAACCTCCTTGCTCTAAGCAGAGGTTAGGTATCGATTCGTCTTGTCTGTGTGACAAGCTGCAAATAGTCGTGTGTTATTTCAGCGGGCGCATGGCGTGTGGTTAAGACAAAACAAAAACACATCACTTTAAAAAGATACACAAAACGCACGAAAGTAGCGTTACGTACACAGCACGAGTCCAAACGATACACCGACAATATACTAGTACTCACGTATATTTCTGTCTCTACCTGTCTATTACATGCCTTTGCTTGATAAAAAACAAAAGTAGAATTTTCCTAAATGGTTGTGAACAATTTGGTAGCCGCTGGCCAGAGAGGTATTGAATTTTTTATGGCCCGCTAACTCCTTATTTTGAGACAGGAAAGACGAATAATA